TTCTTTAAAAAACAAAAAGGCAATGAGCATGCATAAATCCCCTGTGAACTAAGGATCAGCTCCCCTTTCCACATCCAGGGCTAGCCCCTGGGTAAACATCAGAGGGAATCTGTAGTGCATCAAAACCAAATCTCACTCAGCCAAGGGCTGCAAAGGTGATATTAGTTCTGTGCTGCATTTTAATTAATTGTGTTTATATTTATTTATACGCATACACAGGAATGGTTGTTTCATATTTCCTCAGTAGTAAACAGTTATCAAAACAGAACATCCTGTGTTCTCTCCGCTCTAAATGTTATTATTAGTGCGTTGTGTTTGAGGTCGCTCAGCTTGGTTTTGTAGCTCTCCTTTTCTGTGTGCATGCTTATCAGTTAAACTTTAGATATTAATTACCTTTATGGTTTGAAGTGAATATTAAGTTACTGATTACTATTAGTAAGCCAAGTGGGACAGATGACTATATTAGCAAGATATTATAATTGTTTATTTGCCCAGCTTAATTTGCTTTGTTTTAAATGAAAAACATTTACCCTTGGATTGATTTCAAAACTGATAAACAGCCAAAAATGCTATTGAACTGAGTGCATAGAGGGTTTTTTTTTTTTCAATTCAGGTCTCACGTAAAACATAGTATTGGATTTCCATGCAGCAGCCCAGCGATGGGGTGTCAAAGTTACAACAGGTTTTGCAGAAAACCTTTGGATTTGCTTTGCCCACTCTGTGCCGCACGGCATTCCCACGCGGGCTCAGCAGCCACGTGCCCTGTGTGAGGGCGCTGTTACCTCCTGGCCATAGGTGACACTCGGGGGCCAGCAGCACCTGCAGGCAGGGCCCAAAGACACGACCTGAGCGTGGCCATGAAGCGACTGCTCGTGCAGCCGGGAGGCCGCCCGGCACAAGGCGCAAGGAGCATGTGTGTGTGCGCCAGTGCTGGCGGGGCAGTGCCTGCGCCCTACACACTACYGCCTCCCATTTTGTTCCAGGGCTGCAGGCCCAGCCCGATGCCCCATCCCCGCTGGTGGGGGCGGCTGCCCGGCCGAGCCGCCGTGCGGACAGGGACCCCGGGCAGACGGCAAGGCTGGCGCTTCTCGTATTGGGCCAATGGCGTGGCGACGGCAGCCACTACTGGGAGCAGATGGCAAACAAAATGCTCACCGGGTTCCTCAACTTTTCAAGCCCTCCCTTCTTCCCTTTCCATTCTGGCACAGTTTTGTTGATAGCACCCAACAGGCCGGATTACTTAACTACTCACAATGCCGCATAGCTAATACATGACATACTATATACTTTTTCTTTTCCCTACTGCAAACCACAAAAGGTAACACTAGGACTCAAACAAAAACAAATTACCTCAGTAACTCCTGGAAAACTCAAGTGGTTAATCAGTTACCTTTTATTTACATATATATGCTTAATGCTGAATTAAGTTGTAAAAACCAAAGGCTGATTTATAGCCTCAGCCAGCCTTAATTAACATTGATTCCAGGGGAATAGTAAATGCGAGTAGCCTGCACAATTGCAGGAGAACAATGAACTCACTGGGTGTTGTCCAATTTGTAGCATGATTTACATGGAAGCAAGCCCTTCTTTTTTTCTGGGGTTATCCTTTTTTCTTCTGGTGTTTAGGATGGGTTATATATAATCCATAGATTGGAACACTTGCTGTCAAATATTCTCCCTGATTTAGAGCTAGCCTGTACAATGGTCACTATAAATAAGGGAGAAAAAAACCCAATTTGAGGCTTTGCAGGGATTCCTTGTTCTTGCAATGTGTCATCGCTTGTCCATTTCATGGCATTTTTACGAAGTGGCCATAATGAAAGTCAGATTAAATGTACAGGATATATACATTTAATCAACAGCCATTGGAGTCACTAGTGCTGGAAGAGTTATAAAAACCCCTGTGAATGAGAATTTATTGCGAAAGAATCTGAGTCTCGGTGGTAGGAATATCTGCTGAATGGTACTACCTGACACAGAACACCTAAAACTTTCAAAAGTGAGTTATTTAAGTGTAAGGTTTTGCTTGTAAAGCCGCCAGCTGCTGGATTTCAAGACTTGAAACTGTTCCAAAACATGGGGCTAGGTACTTTATATGTGCACTAGAGTAAATACTCTGATTTTACTGCCAATTTAAATGTGCTCAGTTTACAGTAATGAGCTTGTATAGGCAATACCTTGTTTATAGAAAGTGGAACAGGAAGAAACTAACATTAACCATTAACAGTAGCAATTTCTCTTGCCTTCAACTCCAACTTTATGCCAAAYAGATCTTTCCCATGTCCTATCTGAAATATTTGCTATTACTGCTCTTTTTCTAAACACTGTGGGATAAACGGACCACTCAATAAAACTATCCACCTCAGAGCTGTACTCAGCTGGCACTGCAGCCACTTTTGTAATTCTAGGGCACTACTGATTCCTGCCCTGAGATGTCTCGTAGGAAAAACGTACCCGTGTCCTGCGTACTGGCAAACTTGACGACACTGGCAGAATGTAGTTAACATGTTAACATCGCTCCAACAACAACAAAATGCTGTTGTCTCTGCTTAGGTTCTTTCAGTCAACCAAAACGTTTTATGTATCCAAGACAGAGATCACACAAGGACCCTATGTGTTTATGTACATACTATAATCTTAAACAAACATCCTTACAGCTCCTTCAGCCATCTGCTTGTGAGGCTGCAGGCTCCTCCGCCTGCCCAGCGCATCCCCACACGGAGTTCAGAGCCAGTGCCGCGGCAGCAGGGCAAGGACACCACAAAATCCTTGCACACAGACTCGGGCTCTCTGTTCAGCCACGGAGAGGCTACAAACTGACCATGAAACACCAGAAAATTTCTGCTTATGTTGCTCCCTAGAGATGATGATACTGATGGTTCTCTGTTTTTATTACCTTTTTGCTAGTTATCTCCGAAGTGTCCAACCTCACGTCACGAAGCAGTGTAAGCAGCGCACAGGCAGACACAGCCCCATGGCCTGAGAATGCTGTTGTCCAAGTGCACAGACAGGTTCAGGATAAATACAGCCTGCAAAGAAAGTGGTAGCTAGGAAAGGGTGTGTAAAGTTTGGTTCCTTCAGAAAGCTAAAACAAAAGAGAAGCGGAAAGGAAAAGATGGCCACAGAAGGGGGCGAAGAGCACAAACCAGAAAGGGCAGAGGCAGGGCCCGTTATGTGGCACCTGGGCGGCATGGAGAATACACTGAGCGAGCTCAWGTCCAGCAAGAGCAAACTCCATGGTCAAATCTTCACCTTAATGGGCGATCTCTTTACTTTCGACACATGCCCTTCCTGTGCCCTCACCATTTTCTTTTCCTTTTACAGATCCTTTATACTCTTTGGTATTGTGGTATTTCATCTTACATTTTCTATAACCAGCTCTCTAGATTTTTGTTTTTGTTTTTTAACAAACAAAACCCACAGCTCCATCTCTTCTCAGCAGTGTAGGTTTCTTCCTCTCCATTTCCCTCCTTCTTCCCTTCCATGTGTTCATGTTTTGGTGATGCTTTTTTTTCTTACACACAAGCTCATGTGCAAACTCTACTCCCCTGTCTCCCTGTGTCCTCCTGGCTGACCTGAACTGTGTGTCAGTGCAAAGGCAGCAACTTCCGCAGTGCCTGGAGTGACAGAGTGTGGGATTCGAGAGGAGACAGTTTGGGACAAGAATGTGACATTTAGGCTGCCAAATGGGCGGGACAGACTTTTGTCCTGGCAGACGTCGGTCTGTGAGGAAACTGGGCCACTACTAAGCATGCCATTGCCTCCTGTTCGGCAGTTCTGATTGAGAAAGACCATCTGATTCTCACCACCTGGGTGTCTTTGGTGGGAAGTGGTTCCATTTTGGTGGGAACCTGCTGTCCCGTCGAAGGGGATGGTTGCTCAGCCCCAGTTCTAGGGCCTGTGTGGGGTGTGGGGCTTTTCTTGCTTTAAGCAGAGAAAGGTCCCTGTCTCTATAAAAACAACTTAACCCATCTTGCAAAAAGGGCAGTAAACTTTCCTTCTATGGAGAGGTGAACTCCTGGCCCCAATCAAGTCAGTGGTAAAATTCCTATTGATTCCAATGAGGCCAGGATTTCCCTCTAAGCATTTAAGTTGTATTTCATGGAATACAATAAAAGAACATTGATACATGAACTCCGAGGAACCCATATGGTGCCTCCCCTTTTTGAGTGCTTTCATCCTTTGTCTTAAAAAGATTTCAARGATAGAATGAGTCTGAATACCAGAAAAGTCTTTCACTCAGTTGTTTGCCTGAAATGACATTTCATATTTGCTAATAAGTAACTGCATCCTGCTCTTGAGAGTCACTCAGTAGAAAACGCAACTTACATGTACGTAGCGACCAGTAAAAACCTACTTTAAATGAATACTTTAAATAAACTCATTTGTCATTACCTCTCTCAAGACATCTGCTGTCAACACCATTAAAATTCAAATTTGATTTGCCCATGACAATTAAAATGATGTCAACACTGAGAGAATTTAACAATTTCCATTGTTCCAAGCAGATAAGCAAGCTAATTCTGTTCCGCAAGCTGTCAACATAGCCAGAATCAACTGACTGTGTATCGAAAACCTGTGATGTTAGAGATTATTCAGCCTTGACTGCGCTGTATCAGTGACCAAATGTTTACTTAGTGAGACAGGTACTGAATGATTAGTCCAAACGTTTGTCTTGAAACTCCGGAGTTTAAAGGCTTTTTCCCTGATATCATTTCCTTCTCTAGTTTGTGACAGTGCGTGAATCAAATTTGACAGTTGTTAACTGTCCCGTTTAGAGTCTAATGCTGCTTCTGTAGTGGCACTGCCATACGATCACAGAAAGGCATCAGGGGCTGTTGCTGAGCTCTTCAAATCTTTAATATTTGGTCACACATAAATTAGTTGTTTTTTTAATTACAGCCAGCAACCTTTCCCAGGAGTTTGCTACTATATACATTGCAGTGTGTTTCTGCGGAAGGACTGAGGAAGTTTTACCATTTTTTTTATTCCTTTTCTAGATTTTTATCAATAATGAGTGGCAAAATTCTGAAAGTGGGAGGATATTCCCAGTATATAACCCAGCAACGGGAGAACAGATCTGTGAGATCCAGGAGGCCGACAAGGTAATGCATCCCATGGTTACAAATGGACCCAAAACAACTACAGAATACTACTGTTGGACAATTCTTGTATTAATTCCAGTTCCACTACCCACCATGTTACTAAGTGGTTGTAGAGTCAGCAATTTCATGAGCCTGGACATGTTTTATTATTATTTACCTTGCTGTAATAATAATTGTTTTTTTTCTTCCTCCTTGACAGGTCGACACAGATAAAGCAGTGAGAGCCGCTCGCCTGGCTTTTTCCCTCGGGTCGGTGTGGAGGAGGATGGATGCCTCGGAGAGAGGCCATCTTTTGGATAAGTTAGCAGACCTAGTCGAGAGAGACAGGGCAATTCTTGCTGTAAGTAGCACAAGGAAACCCAAGTCAGTTTTACATTCTGAGAACAAACTAATTCATAAACGTTGTAGCATGAACAGTATTTGAAAACTCAATTAGCCTGATGATGTCTGTCTGTTCAAGAACAGATCCAAAGCTCATCACAATCCATAATTTCTACTGACTCAAATGACCTTTTCATTGGACATAAGTAAATAGTTGTGCCCATGTGTATGACAGTTAGGAGCACTTGTAACTTTTCTGAAATAAAAAAATGGAAGAGTATGTGAAGTTACTGGTGCAGATATTAATGAAATGACAGGTGAAATGCTTACTGAAACTCAGCCGGGAACATAAATCCTGGGTATGCTGCTATTAGCTCAGTATTAAGCGTCTGAACGGTGGTATTGTTAATGTTGTTTTCCGCATGTCAGATGCTTTGGACTAAGCTGGTGAACATCTTAATTCTAGCTTTGTCAACACTTAAATCATCTTACCACCAATGTATACTGTAAAATCGCCACAGGGAGAAGGAAGTGCACAGCAAATCAAGTTTACTCTGCCTGTCATGAGATTTGTATTCCTACAGCCAAGTTCTTTACTGAAGTGCACCACAGGCAATGCCATTAATTACTCCTGGGGATGTAAGTCAGTACAGAATTAGGCCTCCATTCTCCTCTGCAGCAATTGAGCCCACGGTTAGCATACACACGTGCATTACACGCTGCTGTACTTTGCCCATTCTTAATGATTTCTATTAGTCAGCTATTGAGAGTCAGTTAAGCCGCTCAATTTCTTACGGCATTTTATTGGATTCTTTTCACTAAATAATTTTAGAAAATCTTAAGAGGATAGCTTATAAGGTACTTTAAAAATAGGAATATTAACTTAAAAATAAGGACTTTAGCTTGTTAATTTATGAGCTTCCCTAGGGGAAAGTTTGTTTATTTGATGGCAATAAATAAACTGGCTGTACATTACAGATATCTCAGACCTCAGCAGGAGTCTTGGCAGCCATATAGAGAAATTTTTATATTCACATCAATTATATGAAGAGGGATATGTCCATTCTTCTCTTTATGGATTCAGATCATTAATATGGGGTTACAGGGAGCCCCTTCTCAGCTGTTATCATTAACATAACAGAACCTACTTTGACAGGCATTTTTATCTTGGCTCGTGATTAAAGCAATCTTGCATTTATATATCTGGACCAAACACAGTGGCTATTAGGTCTAAAATACACACAGTAATTCCAGAAGGTTTAAATGAATTAGATTTTAGGAAAATCCTCTATAAAAGCTGACCATTGCAAAATGAAGTAGCAAAGGGGCTCAGACAGTTTTCTGAAACTTACGGATTAAGACTGTGCCAAAGAGGAGATGGCTTGGTCTTCATTTGAAGTCTGTGATGGCTGAATAGCTGCTGGACTGTGAATACTGAAATGTAACAGTCTAGAAACGCTGCTTTGCTTATGTGTTTTAACTTTTTCTTGTCCTCTAGACTATGGAATCATTGAACAGTGGCAAACCTTTCCTGCAAGCCTTTTATGTAGATCTTCAAGGAGTAATAAAAACTCTGAGATACTATGCTGGTTGGGCAGACAAAATCCATGGAATGACCATCCCTGTAGGTAAGAGAGATTAAAGAACACATGTGCACACAAGCCTTCTGATGGCCGAATGGATTAATAGATTAAAGAGTAATTCTTTTTTGTCCAAGTGGAAGTTGAAGTAGACTTTATCAGTATATATTATGCGGCTGAAGCAATGTTTACAGGTAAGGGCTGGATTAGATGGTGTTTGTATGTACGTAGATGATATACTAGGTATAAGCGACAAATACTTTGAACAAATGTAAACACAGCACTGTCTATTTTAAGAAAATACTGTGCTTAAAAATATAGCTTTTTTTACATTTTATCTTCTTACTGCCCATCTAAATCATTTCACTTGGGACTTAAAGTGGATCCTAATTCATGTATGCATTGATCAAGTTTGTAATGTTATTATACAGAGGTGTATGTAGCCATCAGATACACTTTATGATATAGTTGCTTTTTCAAACCGTTCAGTGGGATCTGTCTTATTGTATGTGTGTGAGAGAGAAAAATCTTTATGAATGCTAGTAAATAAGCTATTGTCTTTTGATAAAGGGATGAGAAAAGAAAAAATCCTTACAATCATATTTATTCAACAAGTCTCTTCCTCCTGCCTCTCCGTCACAGCTGCTTGACAAATGCAGGCAGCATTTTTGATTGTGCACATCTTCATTTGCAATCTGGACTAAATATACCAACTGCCATAATTATACAAAATGGAACAACATAGCACGGGATAATTTTACATGGGTGCAGTCACTAAAATAAATGTACTTGTCTTCTTTACCTACAAAATAGTAAATCTTTTAAGAAACTGTCAGGAAGAACGACATTTACTCCATACATTTCAGTTTCGTGGTTTCACAAGATATGTTTATTACATATTACTGTCAGCGAGCAGGCAGGAACATGCACAAGTAACTGAATTTTGCTCTTGTCTTTGTACAGTAGGCACCTTTACAGTGGCCACATATTTCTATAAAGTTACTATCTGCAATACACTAGTTTTCCTCTGCCATAAGTACAGCAAAGCACAAGGCTGTCACGGATAGGCAAGCTGATGTTAAATATGCCTTTCAGCCTGTTAAAAGTGTAGTGTGCAACTAACTGATACTTATCAACACTAGTTTATTTTCACCAAAGAAATGACAATATTATTATCAGTTGTACACTCTCTTGTAAGGACTTAATGAAGATTTCCACAGCCATTTAGGTTCATAAATCCTCCTTTTGCTGCTAGCACGTCCCATTTAAACAAGCAAAAGTGCAGAGCACATGATAAATTCACATATTCAGCAAATTTCCTGTTCCCTAATCCCTTTCTGCCCACTCAGTGAATGCCTCCGTCTCACGCTGACAGAGGAACACAGAAGTTACACTGCGCACCAAAAGGCAGTACCAGCTTAAGGGAAATATATATTCTCTGCTTATTCTTGTTCTCAAGAAAGAGTGAAGCAGATGAGCAGATGATCCTGGATTTTCAGTGAGGTGGGCTGTGCTGGGGGAGAGAAAGTCACAATTTCAGCAGGTTTTGTTAAATACAAGCTTTAAAGCTGACCATTATCAGTAATGCACAATTGTAAGTCTAGTCACAGTTTTTTTAAGGTATGAATTAGTTCTTCCTCTTGGTTTTATACACCACTTTTCCCCTCTAGATTCACACTATAAATCTGTCATTCTCCTAGAGTTATCTTAGAGCAAAGCCAGAGTTAAATAGTGGTTCTCTTCACATTCACTTATCATCAGCTTAGCGAAGGAAACCAAACAAGAAAACAAAATGAAAACAAAACAGAACAAACAAAAACGAAGAATATTTAACCTCTCTTCCTGCTCAGTGTGCTAATAAATCCAAAACATCCCAATCTTTTGTCTGTTTCTGTGGAGGGTTTATTTTCCTCTAAAATAACAGGCACATTATTTTAAATAAACAGACACATGGAGGACAACAGAAAAGCATTTTTCAGTCATAGTGCTTCTAGTCCCAGAGAAGACTGTACTTTCCTTGCTTCCATTAATAAATCCTTTATGATTTAAATGTAATCACAATAAGGCTACAATGGCAGCTGCTAAAATAAAAAAATAAGCAAAAATTTATCTCTAAATGCAATATATGATATGGGATAACTTAAAGAACCAACATCCTCTACTCACCCATGTGTTTGTTGTGCACTTCTGTATGAGACAGTTGGCTATCTGATGATTTTTATGCAAATTAAATACCCAGGCCACAGATTCCTGATGGAAATCTGAGCACACACATCTGTGGAAGGTATTGCTGTCCCTAAGTGAGATCCTTGGATAAACAGGGCTTTCTTTCTAATTAAAAAAATAAAAATCTTTGGGCCAGGTGCTAAGCAGCTGCAAATTGACCCAGCTCTATTAATATCACTGAGTGCTGAAGAATGTCAATTTACATCAGCTGAGAATATTAAAAAAAACTTTTAGAACAAAATTTTAGCTTGTATGTCAGATCAGACTGACAGATTCATCTCAATCTCCTGCTGGTTGCCAGCTAGTAGAAGTACAACAGTAACAAGCATCACCAAGAGCATTTCCATGAGTATTGTAGGCATTAAACTTAAAACTCTAAGAAGTTAATTAACAAGTTGCCTATTTAATTTCCCAGCACAGGGAGTTTTCTGTGCTCACTGTTCAATAAAAGTGATTTGCTTTATTGAACTTGAGCTATTTTGCCATGGTAACAATCTATTTTACAGTATAGACAAGGTGGTTCTTACGTGTAACTTTGGCTTATCCAGAATCAGCTGAAGCACACAAATAGCCTGAAGTCATACGCAGTCACAAATATGTTACTAGAAAGCAACCTGCAAAGTCCCATCTTAATAGTAAGTCTGTGATTGATGAACTTTGGAAGCTGATGTTAAAAAGGACAACTGTCTTACAAGACCGCAGGACATGCAACCCTGAGCAGGAGCGATGGCTTTGAGGAAGAACGTCTGTGCAGCAGAACACACCATCACTGCTCTGGCTTGGCAGCCACCTTTGAGTTATCTGCACCTTTATGTTAGGAAGCACACAGACATGTGGTAGTGATTATAGGGTGACAATCTAAAGTCAGATGGTGCTAACATAAATGTGTTACTGTTATGTTGTCACCATCTTTCTGGCTGAGAATCCACCTTGCACAGTAATACCAAGTACAGCCTGGTATTCTTAGCTGACTCTTCTGTGCGCTTCTTGCGTGCCTGTACAGTTTTTCCCATATATATGTCTCCATAGTTGTACTTTACTTCTGCCTGGGCCGATGACTCACTAGCTCGTGAACCACTGCTAGCCTCTGTGAGAGAAAACCAACAATGCCAATCATCCCAATGGTGGAACAAATATTCTCACCTCCACTGGGAAGCTGTTAAGATTCTGCAAACTGAAAAGATGCAAAAACATTTTGTCAGTGCAGAACAAACTGATAGATCAATCATTTTCTTCCTCCTTTTCCTGTTGTGAAACTCTCTCACTATCTCTTCCCCCCTGACTCCTTTATTTTCTCTGCTCTGTCCCTTTTCACGGCTACAGCCTACTGTTACTTCTCTCATAATTATTCTATTTCTGGCACCCAGCTGTGTATTAGCTGTTCTAGCTCAGGTTTTTCCTGAATAAAACCTGTGAAATAGATGTACAGAAATAAGTGGACCTGAAAATAAGTTACTTCTAATCAAATCCAAGTTAAAGCCTTTGCTTAAACCCAGGAAACTTTATAGATTAACTCATTTATTATTACCAGATGTATGGTACAGGACGTTACTGCAGGTTCCCAAAATGCACTCTCTGTTGTGATGTTAGGCTGCAACTCCAGGCTGCCTGGGGTGGAGGCCTCATGACTGCCTGGGTGCTCTCGCAGCATGGCAGGGAGAAGCCTGTACCCTGCAGGAGACAGGGAGGAAAAACCTGTGACCAGCCCCCTCTTACTCTCTGCTTCCCTCTAACTATCTTCTACCCTGGTAAATGCTCTCCTGTGACTGATGCCAGGTAACCTTTTCAACATCTCATGCATACTTAGCTGAAAAATCACTTTCTAAAAAAACACCTTTTTTTTTTTTTCCTACATGACCATCACTATATGTCTAGGTACACATCCAGCTGATGTCTTTTCTGTTAACTGTTCCCTCCTTTTTATCCTCACCAAAACCCTTTTGATCTGAATTCAGCTCATTTGAACCTTGACTTAGGCACCGGAGTGCTTAGCTCTGCTTTGACAGCAGCTGCAGGCCAAGCTCCATGTGCTCGGGGAGAGGAGGCGGCATCTGGAGAGGCTGGAGCTGGCAGGAGCGGCCGCCCGGCCGTGGGGGAGGTTGCACTGCCACCCCGAGCCCGGCCGCAGAGCTGTTTATTTCACAGCCTGACTCAGGCTGCCCTGGGCTTGGCAGTGCCTTAGTCGAGGAATCCAGGCCTAGCGTAGCACTCACTTTAAGTAAGAACGCCTTTCACCTCTGGGTACTTGTTTTGTTTCTTCTCTTTTAATTCTTTGGCATCTTAAAAATAACTACCAAATCAGAGTGAATTAAGTAATTCCCTAAAGCTGTGCAACATTCACACCTGTTTGTGCGCATATGATCTGCTTTTCCTCTATTGTTAGGAACTTCCTTAGCCTGCATTCTTGTGCCTGTCAAAAGCCTAGTGCGAATATTCCAGATTTTTCGAGTTTCCAGTTACACTGTCCATTTATTTATCCCAACTCTACCTGACCAAGAGGTCTGTGAAAACTTCCCTTTCCTCTGTTGTCCTGTTTTCCAGCAGCTTCCAGCTTTTCTGTGTCAGCCTGAACCGAATGCATGTTTAGCTTGAAGCCATCTCTGATACAGACCTTGCTTTACAAGTCAGATATCAGAGCAGTGTGAGGTGATAGCCCCTGTATTCTGCATCTACAGATCTACACATACTATTCCATCATAATATACATATAGTACTCTATTTCCCCAAATCTGCTTGTATGCCTGCTTTTATATTGCTGTGTTCTAGCAGCTTCTTTTAGGGAATTGCTTTGGCAACTCTCCTCTTCCCTCAGCCTATATCCATCAGAGGCCAGTCCGTAGCTCCCTCGCACATGTCCTTCCCTGTGCTACACGGCTTGTCCCCTTCGCCAGGGCACAAGGCAGGTTGTTTCTGACGGGACGCCTGCTCCCTTTGTTTGCCTGCGAGCACAGTTAGGTTGTTCCTGAGCCTAGGTTTCCCATGCTGGCTCATGAAAAAACATTTCCATGAGTTCTTTATTTCTTTTACTGCCATCAAAGGCTGATCTTTAGAGCTTTTTCCCCCTGTATTTTTTTTTTTTGTTCTGCCAAGTCAAACTGCACTTGAGAGTAACCATGCTCATCTGTTTCAGATGGAGATTATTTTACGTTTACAAGACATGAACCCATTGGAGTGTGTGGACAGATCATCCCTGTGAGTATCTCTACTAGTGCCTTCTATTTATTTTCATTTGAACTAGCTCTCTTTAAAGACACATAAAACGTGGTCCTCAGCTATGTGTGTTTTCCATTACGAAAAAAGCTGAGCTCATATTGTTGACATATCTTTAACAGCCTCCCTGCAAATGCTTATTTGAACATGCTAATAGGGTTTAGGCTCTGTTATTAGGAGTTAAGTTCTCAAGTCATAGAATTCTCATGATTAAAACAAGCAAAGCAAAACACAGTGTTAATATGCTGTCACTGGTTATGGATGTTCACACAACTTAAGGAAAATTGATGCTTTGCTGTGGCAGTCTTCTTATTTAGTTAGTTTTTATTGTGATTTAACAGGCTCCTCAGGTTCTGGGAGAATGTGATGCATTTTAATTCTATTCCTTCCTGCTATTTCTTTTACAAGGCTGGAGGAGAAGAAACTCCAGAAGACATATCATTAAAATTAACATTCTGTATCTAGACATGAAATATTTATTTGTTATGAGAAACACAGCATTTCATCAAACTTAATACTCCCCCTATACCCCACTATACACCCTTAAGATGCTCTCGCTGAACACTGCATGGGAATTGCACTGAAAAAGCTGACTTTTTCAGGAGTCCTAATTAACCAGTTTTGGCAGAAATTTCAATGGGAGGCTCACATATAGCTATTAAAATATTCTGTAAAAGCTTTTTTTTCCTTGACAAGACATTGGGGAACTAATCAAGCATTCTCTGAAATTTTTGTTGATGTTATTTTTTTATTTTGTTCATGCTAACCACAAAACCACTAAAGAGCAACACAAAGTAATTCCAGTAAAAGAGAAGCAGACAGAAAAGATTACTTTAACAATGTTAATTCCTTTTTCCCCTATTTATATTTATTGTTATTTCATTTCTTTGCTACGGGGTGGCTGTTATGCTTGGCACTCAGCAGAGACTCAGAGAACCACGCATAGAAACTCAGTCTGTGGTTTCACTCGTCCTGCAAACACCCACACAGCTGCCTAACTTCACTGAAAGAGTGATGCTCATGGACAAGTGGTTTCACACATCCTTCCCCTTTGTTCAGTAGAGCATAAGGATGGACATTTGGGAAATGACAGTCCCAGCACCTACACTGAGGTGCCCAGCTGCCGGATGTCTCTTAGGGTTGTCTCCCTGATCTTGACTGATAGATCTAGTGAAGGAACTTGGCCAAGGGCTCAAGATCATGCCACAAGCAGATTTAATTCAGATTTGCAAAATAAGGTCATTATTCAGTGTACCCTGCCTCTGTCATACCTGTTCACTCTTTTTTCAAGTTTGTCCCCTAAATGTCCCCGCAGCTGTCACACACATCCATTCTAACTCTCCCAATAATCTACCATACGTTTCCTTGGCAGCTACCACCGTGCAGCGCCAGGACCACTGCGTGCACTTAGCCACTACACTAGCAAATATGTTACTCCAAAAAACAGGTCTGAAGGCAGTCAGCTTAGCAGCCCCTCCTCCTTCCATCCAAGCTCCCACCAAAACTGACCCTCTGTGGCAGTTTTGTAGCACAAAGAGGGCCACATACTACCTTATAAAACTCTTCAACTGTCTCCTTGGAATAGGCTTTASAAGTGGAGGCTGTGAGCACACTGTTGGCCCAATAGCTCCCCTCCCAGGTTTATATATTGGAGAGGGAATTAAAACATCACTTTGTCTCCGGAGTTTATAAACACGTGAGAGAGTAAAAGATTGGGTGTTCAGTGAAGGAAAGACAGTTGTGTATTTTTTCAGGCTCGCCAGGGGCTGGCGGGATGTCCATGAGAGTGGCAGCTGAGACGCATCAGGCAGTAACATGCTCTGGCCAGTGGCTGACTCTCTAGGACTGATTTTTTTTTCTTTTATTTCCAAACAAGACTGTTATATGCATTTATGAGATTGACTCTGCTAACACAGTTGTTTTATTCCTCTGACATTTGCAGTGAAATCAGTGCTACTATCCTTTTAAGATATTAGGCTCAGGTCTTGACACAAAAAGCCAAACTCTTGCAAAGTTTATTCTTATCTTGACCAACAACTTTGTGCATCAAATTAACGTTATTTGTCACATCTTGTGCGGCAGTTAAGTGAAATTGAAATTAATGGTAATGCACAATTTATATCAGTAGAGATTATCTCAACTTGCTTTAATAGGTTATATGTAAATTGCATGGTAGGAAGTTTTCAAGAAAATAAAAGATATGAATGAAATGGCTTGGCCAAGGAAGTACACTTAGGGAAGAGTATTTTATTGTAATCCCATCAATTAGTGATGATATAATTTGTGTGTAGATCTTATGCCTTATTCCAGGACTGGAAATCTACAGTTAAAAAAGCGTTAGCACGAGCAAACAGTTCTTTTCAAATGTACCAGAAGCAGGAACTGTTTTTCATGGCTGGAGGAAAATAAAGTGCGAATTGCAAAATCGTAAATGAAATCAAAAGTTGCAACTAAGAAAATTAACAAATAACGTAAGATTCTTTTAGGAAGGCTGCAGTTCTTTGAAGAGGAAAAAAATAAAAGATCACTATAGTCGCTTTCTTAATGAGGCTAATTAAAAAAAAAATCCTTGCTTTGTGCTGGGAAAGATTTATGTTGAGCATCAGCCTGAGAAATGAGTGAGGTAGCAGCCTGACATCTTGAAAACAAAACACCACTGCAATATTTTTTCATCTATCAACTTTTATTTTTTCCTACAGTGGAACTTCCCCCTGCTGATGTTTGCATGGAAGATTGCTCCAGCTCTGTGCTGTGGCAATACAGTAGTTATTAAACCAGCAGAACAAACACCACTCAGTGCTCTCTATATGGGAGCCCTCATCAAGGAGGTAAGAATAATTGACAGGAATAATGTCTCTGTCTCTTCTTGTGGCAGCAGAGCTACAGCACATGTCTAGTTTAACAGGCTCTGTCAGTTTTCATAAATCATGTCTCCCTTCACTCATTCCTATTTTGACAGGCTGGCTTTCCACCAGGAGTTGTCAATATTTTGCCAGGCTTTGGTCCAGTTGTTGGTACAGCAATTGCATCTCATGTTGGCATTGATAAAATTGCTTTCACCGGATCCACTGAGGTAAGAGCGTTCCCAGATCTGCTACTATAATACACGAGCAAATACTTAGTGAGCTAGAGCTATAGCCTTGTATCACATTCCTTCCTGTCACCGAGTAGGAGACCTATATCTGAATAGCGGCAGTCTGTCCTTCCTAGCTAAGCTCGTGTGCTTTAATGGCCTTTTCCTCCAGCCCCTGCTGTGCCCAGCACCTCAGCACAGGAGATAGGCCTGCAAAGATATTGCTGGGATTTCCTGTGGGCTCAGGAGAATATAAGTCACAGGCAAGAAGCAGAACATCCAGTGTATATCATAGCATATATAAACTCAGTTTTATCATCCATAATTTGGTATCCTGCCATACTTGGAGGAAAAGGGAAGAGGAAAAGGGCAAATATGCTTAAGCTTTGCTGCTGCACTGCAATATATTGAGAAGGAAGTCTAAAAAGGAAAACATAGTGTAGGGTAGGAGTGCAGTTGTCCAAAGTGACAGTCCTCAAAATGAAGGGAAGATGTTGGCCAGAAAAGGGCAGGAGCCAGTTGTCTCCTGGATGCCAAAACTGTCTTGCTATGATTCCATGGCACAAATGCTACAGAAGAGGTTAGGTTTGAAGAAAAAGGCTGTGATCTACGGAGAGAAAGCCAAACCTTCCAGAACTGAGAGCACGCCTCGCTCTCAAATACGTGCAAAGCCAGCTGTTATCAGGGTTGGGGTGGGGATGATAGAGGGACTACTGACTGATGTCACAGGAGAAGGAGTCTTATCATCTGAAGGCAGACAGAAAGGAATCTCAGTGGGAGTTTCRGGGATGGTTATATTTAGTGTGTGCTAAAAACAGGCCCTTTTCAATTCAAAATCTGACAGACCATTGTATGGAGGGAGCTAACTCTAGGGCTCAGGTTTCTCTTTGATATGCGTGACTCCCACTCGTGGCAGTGGGAGGCTGTGTGTGACATACTGCACTTCACAGTGAATCAAATAGATTTGCTTTGAGTGAGTCACTAAACTCACTGACCAAGAGCTCTACTGGCTATGGGTGGTAACTCCCTTGTTTGTCCGGAGAATGCAAGAACCAGCTAAATTATTTCAAATAAATGATTTGGGGGGGAATTATACCTGTAATGAAGTTTAGATGGCACAATCCATGCACCCAAATCATCAGTAAATGGTGCTGCAACTATATGCCTAATCTGCACACCCAGTTATCTTGTAATTACCATATGCAACTCCGCCTAAGAATTTTTATGGCAAGTTTTGATTATTATATACACAGGTTATATACGAATTCAATGGCAACATTAGATTTCAGATTACTCAAAGAAATTACATCTAGTCATTATACCTCCTGTAACCAATTTATATTAACATGCTAGCATAGTGAAAATTTTAATATGAGCTGATTACCCCCCATAAATTAAGCTGAAACAATTGTTTTCATAAAGATATGTGGTCTCTGTTTAAGATAAATATTCTATTATACAGGATGTTGCACTATTTGGAGGAGGAAAACTACAGATGGGTTAGGTTTCAAAGTTGTCTTTTGTAGCCAAAATAAATTTTTATTGTAGTTCCAGACAGCTTTAGTTTTAATAGGCGTTTAAACTCAAAAGCTGTGGGTTTTATACTAACTCAGTGCCTACCTTTAAAAGCCTTACTAATAGGAAGTGAAAAGCATTACAGAGATGAAAAAGCAATTCTCTAAGAACCTCAAGCAAGAACAGATGGAACGTTTTAATGCAGAGTTAGTGTAAACTATTCCATATTGTTTCTGATTTCCTGTAACATTGAATTTTTGTAACAGCAAGTCAACATTGTAACAGTTTAAACAATGCTGGAATATCAGCTGTACTGTGGAGTGTTTGACTTCTCAGAAACAGTTTTTATTTTTTAACGAAATAATAATAGATATATTTTGTCTCTCTGGTCTTGTCTGTGGGATGTCAAGTGTACACTCCAGTGGCATGGACTTTTGACAGCCATCGGCTATATTCTGAGCAAGATATTAACTTCCATTCCCCCATTTCTTCCAGGTGCTTGTTAAGGCACTTAATATTTTTAGCCTGCACAAGTTAGCAGTACAAAAGCAGAGATCTTCAATTTTTAAGTGCCTGAAGCTTAGATGTTTCTTAAGTTTCCACCATGAAAAGTTCTTTTGGAAAGAACATAAATTGTTTACCTTATAACTATTATATACTTAGAACTAATGAAACTCCCCGTCTGCTTGTAAAAATATTACCCCTGGGTATTATTGTCTCTTTCCTGCAAAGCTGCTTTTTTAAAGGTAGAGAATAAATTGCTCTTCTTACAAATAATTTATAATTATAATGTCTTACAAAATAAGAAAGAAGGACAATAAGGCCAAGTTCATGACCTTGACTCCATAAAGCCTGACGCAGACAGGCCAAAGATCTTCTAGTCTAGCACCTTATCTTCCACCACGACCAGTAACAGATGCTTACAGAAAAAGAGAGAGCATGTGCAGAGCGATCCTTCCCCTCCTACAGCCTCACAGAAATTTAAAGACTTCCTGAGCCTGAAGTTGCATGTGGACAACTGAATTTAATAGCCACCAATGGAGCTGTCGTCCATGATTTCGCCTCATCCCTCTTGAAGCTGTGGACTATTGTGAAGTCTTAAGCCCATCACTATACAAGGACAACCAATAACTAACTCCTTATTCACGATACTGACATCTAATTTATGCAAGCTCCAGTTCAGGAAAATGCCAGTTCACAATTATCCCGGTTCCAGACAAATTTACCTTTATATACTTCAGTTCTCCTCTGGAGAAGGGTTTTACCTGAACTGAGAGTATAAAATCCACATCCTATTTTCCAGTGAAAAATGATGTTAATATCATCCCAATTTAAAGAGCAATAAAAAAAGCCAAACACCTTTCCTTTATCTGTAGCTGTCACTGACCAAAAAAAAAAAAAAAAAACCCCACGAAAAAAGCGCAGAAGATGCACTACATCCAGTGGAGCTGAATCACTTGGAAAACCCTGATTGCCAAATTCACTGGGCAATCCCTCCCCTCATCCCACCTCAGCAAAAAAATTGCTTTCTTCTGCACAGCAGGAGAAAAGAAGAATATTTGTGTATTAGTAACACACAAAGTAAAGAAGTCCAAGCAGCCTCACTTAAGGGAGGGTCACATCATCTTCCCCTGACAGGCATCATCACAGCCCTTCCATCACAGCCATAAAGCTCTGTGCAAGTTTAGGGAGAGGCCTGAGTCATTGGGAGAGACTCGAACTCCACAGAGCTGTACCTGACAGAACAGTGCTGTTCTCCATCCCTCTTGTCAGTGGATCAAGCAATGCACAGAGTGCAAGAAATAGGCTGATCAGCTGCACCATCAGCATCAGTTACTGGCCTGTTCCTCCTCTTGGCACCAAAAGTCCTACAGTTTTGGAACTCTCTACGCAATACAATTTTTATTTTCAACATGGATGGGAACCATTTGCTTCTAAGGGGATGAACAAGCCTAATAAAAATCCTAACTTACTGGGAAGAAAAGCCATACAGAATTTGCATAGGACATCTCTACATCCTATGGATTAGACAGCTTGTGAACAAGCCACTTAGAACGTGGTAGTTTGGTTTGCACTATTTCTTTTCTGTTTCTCACATTTTTCAATGCTCTCAAAATTGTTTTAAGTACCATTTATTTGCTAGACTGCTTCCAAGTAATATGTGGCATATCTTAATCTATTAGACAGACCTCTTTTACTGTGGACTATCATTGACCAATTCCACTTCCCTCCCTCTTTCATGTTAGCCCTTGCACATTGAAACAGTCTTCCAGCTCTTCCATACCTTAGACCATTTCTTATGACACACCTTTCCATGGATCAGCTTCCTTCCCAGTCTCTTAGGCCATGGCTCTCCAAAGTCCTCCCTCTGCCGTTACTTTGGGAAGGTTCTGCAGACGCTCCATGGACTGTGAATTTCACTTGATGAACTGTAAGAGAGAAAACCATACTTGAGCACATGAGCAAGCCCTAAAATATTGTGCCTCCACAGATGTCAACAGCTTTCTTGGCTTCTGTATTTCCTTTGGTTCCTACTCCTCAGCTTGTCTGGTATGGGCTTTTAAACAAAAGTGTTTATTTTCACTGTGTTGCTTTTAGTGAACCAGAGTTAATCTACAATCCTCCCTAATTGTGGAAATCTCATCTCCAGCTTTTTTCTCACATCTTCCACAATCATATGAAACTGCCCAAAATAATCTTTTTGCAGTGAATCTGACCATATCATCACCTGCTTCTGTCCTTCCTACTTTCCCTTTAAAAATCATAATCAATTTAAACATCTCTTCTTTTTTTCTCTGTAGTCCTCTGGTCCCTAGTTCCTGGGGGAAACTCTTGCTTAACCAAAGACTCTATAAGTTCTTCGGTAAAACTCAGCGCTCTGATACTCTCCTAGCTGTTCCTTATTACCTCTCTCCATTTTTCTGTCCCTTTCTCAGCATCAGTTTTCTCACTGTTCCAAGTATTCCTCTGAGTTCCCTTAAAAAAAAAGTTCTTTTTCCTACAACCTATGAGTAACAATGTAATTAAAATAGAATTCAATTATTTATATTTCTTAGCTTAAGAAAAGCTAATCCCCAGTCTGGATGTCTGGTTTACCCAAGGGGATGCTGTTGGTTCAGAGTTCAGCAGTACAGGAGGTGCTATACAAGTCTCTTCCCTGCAGTTAGATGCACAGTGGACATTATTTATTTCCAAGATACAGTCTGATTAGGGGACGATTATTTACACATATCAGAAAGGCAGAGAGGTTGTTTTTCCTCTTAATTTTCTTATTTTTGCGAAGAACTGCTCTCATGTAGCCTCCAAGTAACAGAAAAAAACAGCAAGGAGAAAACTGTTTTTCTCATCCTATGTCTTTATTTCCACACAAGACTGCCACCTAAGTGCCATATCTGCTCTGAACTGCGTGGCTGTGTGTGAGCCTGGTACTGCACTTGAACTGGGCACCACTAAGTTACAGGTGCACGTGAAATAGTTGAGTATGCTCYGTTTTGGGTTTCAAACTAGAAATTATGATAGAAAGCAGCAAGCTATGCAGTTAAAAATATGTGCATTTAAGACAGCGTCTGGATTAAAAAGTGTTTTTGCCTATTGCAAAAGTTTTATGAATTCTACTAACTTCTGTTCAAAAACAAATGTGTTGCCTCCAAACCAGAGGGTCTTACAACTCCTTTTGGTTGTTAAATGCTCTCAAGATCAGGATCATAGATAGCACACAAAATATGAAGCACTGGCCAAGAAGAAATGTGTCCTAAGTGGCTGGTTTCCATTTTGTTAAACTAAGACCTATTAAAAGCCATACAGATTACAGATAGTTCAGGTCTATGGTCGTGCAGTTCTGTATAGTGACCCAAAAAATATTCAATAAATTGTTTTGGATGCCTGTGTAAACAAAAGGTCTAGAAACAACTTCAGTTAAACCCAACAAAGCAGCCTGCATTTTGCTTGGCAGAATGTTTTCTTTATACACTCAGATTAACAAACCATGATCTCATCGTTAGTCAACAAGATACAAGAGCGATCATCAAAGCAAACTACAGGAGAGTCAAGATTGATTCACGCCAAACAAATGTTTGCAGCTAACAGCTGTATTACCAGTGATTCTAATGTACTCAGCAGGATTCTCCTTTCATTTCCGAAATGTCAGAGCACATGACGTAGACAGCATGTCTGCCTACTGCCCAAGTAATGAGTTGTGTCAGCTCTCTTGGATTATGCAATCTTGGTTGATTTTGGACATCATGAGGAATTACATACTGGCATTTTTAACAGCAGTCCTCCGGGTGATTTGTTCTGCTTTAAGACTGTTAGATAACCATGCTACAGACATGCTCCATTCAAAATAGAGGGGATTTAGGGAGGCTACATTATCATTCATTCTTGCTTCTTCTGTACCTTTTTAATAATGTCTTAAACAATCTGTGCTTTCAGGGTGAAAGTGGTTCTTTTCCTTTTCCTTCGTGTTGCTATTGGTAGAATTTAAAGAGCTGTCCTTGGACAACTGTTTTTCCTCTTTGCCAACAAAAGCTGCATGTCAAAGGGATTCCTGGAACTAAACAAATGGGGTGGTGTATCAGCCTGTCAGAGCTGACAGGAGTTTAGCCACGGACTTCCATGGTGCCAGGATTTTTCTTAGCATTTCTTCTTTTTCTTAGCTAAGTCCTTTATAGCTAAGGATTCTAAACAGTCACTTCCATTTCATTCACACGAGCCACAGTGCTTTTCTCACCAGCCAGGGCACTGCATAGTCGAGGGGGGGAAAGCTGCATCATGCAGTGCTTTACTATATGACAGTACTTCAATATTCAGTAATCTTGGCTAGATCTGGGGACATACTCTGAACATGCTGTGTGGTCCTTCTCAGAAAGATTCTGCAGATAATCTCAAAAAAAAAGAAGAAGAAGAAATCATACAGGCTAAGCAACTAAGCAGCAGCATAAGTTTAAGGCTGTGCCAAAACACTGACATTTTGTACCTCAAGAGCTAGAGAAGTTAAATTGTGCAGTTCTAGGAATCACTGAATTCTGTATGATCATATGATCTGATATAATTCTGTATTATCTGTATGATCAAAGCATCTGCCCAAAACTTTATCCATCTCCTGTAACGTAATATACTTACTGTTATCAGAAACTTTCCTAAAATCCCAGGCAAGGTATACTGGTGAAGATGGCTAGTGTAGCTATTCAGAACATCTTAAATAACTGAAGATTATTTAAATCTGACCCCTCTGTCAGTTTTGGAACTGTTCATGGAAGCTTTTAATCTACAGAGCTTTCCTATTCTCTCAAGCTTGATTCTGCAGTCTTGTCTATGGCAGTGTACAAAAAAATAATCTACTGTCCACCTAGACTGCTGTTCCCCTTCATTCTGGGGTTCCCCAGCGGTTTACTGCCTATCTGGGATCACAGGAAGCTCAGAGCAGAGAGGAACCTCAACACACTGATGGAGCCAAAGAGGAAACATCACAAAGTTTGGAGGCTTGCTGTTGACTTCTGTGATTTCCAGTTCTTTAACAGACAAAAACACTTACCTTTTTAAAACATGTATTTCCATCTGAAATCAGGAAATGAAGACAACATGAATGGCAATATTGAGAACAAGACATTAAAATAGCTATATTTAGAAAAACAACTGCAAGAAGCTCCTCTTGAGAAAGACAGTGAAGTTCCAAACACAGAAGGCACAAGCAAATAACAATCAAATGTTGGGTGTCACAATACACTCTCAATTCCTAGCAGCATACAGCTCACAGTCCAGAAACAGACCCTTCCAGCACTACTCTTCAAGTAGCTTTTTTTGCATGCGGATGCTGCAGAATGCTAACTTAATCTTTATTGTTGTTGTTCTGAATAACAAATTCTTTTCTTTGAGATGGGCCAAATTACATCTGCCTCACTCTCCATGCAGCTTAAAAGGTTACAGTACTTCATGAGTTATCCCGGGATACTCATGATATCAATCTTGAAGCCTATTCAAAACAAGGATGGGGAGTCAGGGTTTTCTGTGCCAACATTCCTGCCGAATAATCAGCCCAGCTCCATTATCTGTGGGGGAGGCTTCTCCTGCAGCCTTCCCTTGTGGGCCGTGCTGCCGTTGGGAGCTCTCAGATGGAGCTCAGAGGCGCCCCGGGAAGCATACAGACTGGAACACTCACTTATCCTTTTCATGCTGACATTCTCCATAAAAAAGGCAGTTACAAAAGGCTGCTTTAGTCGCTCAATAGTCACAGCTCTGGTGCCCTCCCCACTACTTCACTGAACCTGTAAGGGTGCAGGGCACAACCGGAGCACAGAGAACAGTAAGGGTGAGCAGCAGGAGCCCTCCCAACCTGAGGTCTGCACTGACTTCTCCTGGAAAGGACACGGAAGCTGTCCCATACATTTACACTTGGAAACTTGACAACAACCTCCAGGTAGGAACAGCACTCTGGACAATACTTTTCCAAACAAAGGCCATTTTCTCCAAGCCTTCTGTCTTTGGATTTCAGTATTTGACACACATAAAGTATTTGGTTTCACTTATTTCCTAGTCAGGCACTTGTTTGTACAGAATTTGTTACAAACCTTTATTTACCTGTACAGAACATCTTTGACACTGAAGTGATGGAATGGAAGGCAGAAATGACAGGCTGGACACACTGCACTGGCTTCCCAGTACACCCTGCTCTTTGGGGATTCAGGAGAGGAAATGGAGGAGTGCTCTTCTTTGAAATGCAGAGGGAAGCTCAAAGCAGGGCAGGTGAATGGCAGTGGCTGGCACTGGCTATAAACACATCTCTCTGGCTTGCAGTGTACATTTTCAGCACAGTTTGAGAGGTTGGAATTTCCAAATGACACGTTCGATGTATGTGCTGGGGGTGCAGAGCAGTCAGGGTTCTTTTTCATGGCTGGCTGTCAGTCAAACACAGCAATAAAAACAGCTCCAATTAAGAGGAATATGCAAGGAATTTCATGATAATGTCAGCACTCCCTTCCATCAATACAGGGGTAAAGAAAAGAAGCTAATTCTTTAAGTTAATTTCTTTAAAAAAAAAAAAAAGGTAACCTCAGTCACACTTGATAGGGGCAACACCAGATAAACAGTTAATCAGAAAGGTACATAAAGTGGTTGACAATTCCTTCATTATCCTGCTGGCTTTTAGCTTTGTTTTTTCTGTGGGGGCCCTGGATTCTGTTTCATTTGCTCTCTGATTACTCCAGTGCTGAGTTAACTTTCTCCAGCAAACTAACTTCAGTTCTGCAAGATGTTGAGCTTCTCTTCCATTAACCCCTTATTGCAGGGAATCTCACTCCCCTGACATTAGGAAGAGAAACAGAAAACTGATAAATTCCAACAGCCACAGTCCAGAGTTGGCAGAATTTTGAAGACAAAACTCTAATTCCTAGTGAATATAACATGAAGTTTGAGTTCTGGTCAGCATCTAACGTGTCACTCGGTATCTAATTTTGAGACCTTAAAACATCTTAAAACAATGTTCCAGTAAAAAAATACCTTTGAGTATCCTCAAATTTCTCAATATCCAAAAGATGATTTGAATTCTGTGCTTTACTGTGGGAGGGCCTAATCTTTCTCTTATTACTTAGCTACAAAAATGGGCATAATTACACTGCAACAGGACAAAATCAGATCTATATTGTATTCATTGTTCCAGGGAGGGGAGAATCTCCATGGAGCACAGCTGCTGCTCCAACTGTCCTGGCTGCAGGAAACATGCCATAAATGTAGCTGTTGAAGGGCTACTCCATTTAATCAATCTCTGTGTTCCTTGGTCCAGACTGRCAAATTGAGGCTGCTCTGATTTCCTCTAAGACTGTGTGCGTCCTGCTCCAGCTGACACCCCAATCTACAAAGGCATTTGACCTGCTCGACCCATACCACGATCATCTGTGCTGCAGTTGAGGGTTCGATCAGGGTGGTGCATTTGTGACTTCTTGCTCTTTTTGGTATTCTGTTGTAGACTGCTAGTCCTGCAGAGAAGGCTGATAATTCTGTCAGAATGTGATATAGGCTAGGTTATGGTTTCACTATGAAAATGACTTATTTTGGACACTGAAAACTGAATTTTGAGAACAGAGGAACTCCTAAAAACTGGCCTGGCTAGCAGTTTAGAAACTGTAAGTTCTATGAGTGAAATGAATTCTGATAGCAATGCTCATGTGGGATAGCTAAATCCTAATCTATATAGAGAAGTGTGACTGTAGCTATTATTGATGCTTAATATATACTCAAATACCAGATTTATTTTATTTCATATGAAACTGAAAATTATATACCAAACTTCATGATAACAGTATGGAAAATCTTGTGCCCCTGCCAGTAATATGGATGGAAGTCATTCTAGTTAGAGCCTTCCATATTTTTAACTCAACCCTCCTACATAGCACCCTAGAAGAGTGCATCAAGTCATTTTACCTTAGATACCGTGGGATGAAGACACAAATCCCTCTCTTTGTGCCCAGCGTTGTCGCCTCTACAGTTCTAGGAAGCAACCTGGAAAGCTGTCCACAGCTGACGTGAATCTGTTTGGACCAAAGAACTTGCTGGATTATTTAAAACACTGTTCCAGTGATGTCCAGCACTGGCTGTTAAAGTGAAGCRTATGACTACATTGCCTGTAAAATGTGTCTCCATTTCCTTTCAGGTTGGAAAGCTGATCCAAGAAGCAGCTGGAAGGAGTAATTTGAAGAGAGTTACACTGGAGCTGGGTGGGAAAAGCCCAAACATCATTTTTGCAGATGCTGATTGTAAGTCAGCACTTTCACATTTTCCTTAAAACATGTGTGTGTTGTTATTTGAGGGCATATCTTTCATTCAAAGTGAAACGGACAAATACGGTCACATCTAATTACACTTTTGATATTATAGAAATAGCCCAGGGTGATTAAAATCAAAACAAAACAGAACAACAGTTGTACTCATAGATTCACAGTGAAAAACAGAGACAGTTATAATCAAGCATATATATTTCATGTTAGTCAAAAATCATGATCCTGCACATACCTATACATGGTCCTAAATTCTGCAGCACTACGGCTCTGGAAATTCTGTGACAGCAGAGTCACAGCAATTATATATTAAAAAGGGGGTTCATGCAAATCATTGGAATGATAATCTAGTCACTGCATTATTACTTCTTAAGATATTCTGATAGTAACTACAAATGGATATTATTCCATTTTAAAAATTTTCACAGTTGTGTACTGAAGTATGTTCATTGCCATTGTCAGCAGGGAGTGAAGATTTTGGCAGCTGGATGAGGCGCAGCTGGGATTTTTGGCACCTGCGAAGGTACAGGACAGCAGTTTAGGACAGGATAAAAACACGAACTGGAAGTTTCTGCTTGAATGCTCAGTAATGCAATAGTTAACAATGCTGATATTTAAATTGTCAGCAGGAGTTTTTGACGTTAACACCTCATTAAGATGAATGGGACAGTTCACACCTTGCTTTGAGCTATTGTTTCAGGCTGTGTGCAGGCACATTGTACTCTGCATTTTCTGAAAACTTACTTTGTAACCCAAAGGACTAGAAATTTAAGTGATATCCTACGGTCATTTAAAAAACTTACCACTGACATAACAAAGACTAGGAGAAAGGTTGAGAACTTTCAGCACAGGAAAGTTTACCATGTTGTGGGTCTAAATTACAGCTGTAGTCATTCCTGTTAGCTAAAAAAGGCTCCTGGTTAACTGGAGGCAGGTTCAGATGCTACAGCCCTCTACTCCAATTACTCATCTGCACCTCTCTCACCAGCAATCACGATGCCCTCAGCTGTCCGTAACCTACTAATCATACGTATCTGAACACCTTTTGTACAGCAGTACGTGCCAGGGCCAGGTCTGTGTTACAACCCTCCACAGGGGAAGGACAAATACTGCTAAACTGCTGTACAGAGCTGTAGTTTATCTGTGCCTTGCAGCATCTGCCAAAATAAGGCTGAGAACCTGGGGAGAAACCACAGGCAGCAGAGGAATAACAGGGCAAAGAAAGGGAGCAAAGCCCTCCTCAGGACTGTTTCATGTAGTATCAGCCTAAAAATCTCTGGCCTGCCCATAATTACAACCACCAGCACTTGACCTGAGCTTGCAACTTCAAAGCTATTTTTATTATAAAACTGCAGACAGTTTGCTTACCATTCCAAAGGAGCAGTTTGTTCTATTAAGGAGCACTGTGTGCCAAAAGTTAGCAGAAGGCATGACAAAGCTGCTGGAAGTACAGTGTACCAAAAAGCAGGAGGGGAACGTTGGAGCCCTTCATGGTGCAAAACTGTTAAGAAAAAAGGAAGGAAACATCAGTTGATCAGTTCTATCCACTGCTGTTTTCAAACTCTGCAGAGCTGCCTCGGGAAAATTTGAATGTGGTCCAGGGAACACTCTACAATTTTTTTTTTTCAGATCATACTGAAGGCAGAATAGGACATTTTTGTTAGATGAAGTTGTCTAGGATGTGCTGAAAGTAAAGTACTGTTGTTTTGTTTATTCCATAAATAATTATATTTAAGCAATGTTCCAAAGTGCTACAGCTGATAACAGAGGCTTTGCAGTGCTGCAGGCCATCACTTTACAACGATAGATTCAGTATCATACAGCCCAAATTCTTCTCTAGTCAGTTATTATGCCCAAGGGGAGAATCTAGCTCTGAATGTCTAAATATGGCTGGATTTTCCTCTCCTGGTTGAGTATTGGATATGCTGGTTGTACCTCTAGGGAAGCTGGAAAGGAAATCATTTATTGTTTGTTCCAAAATTGAGCTATGTTTTTAAGGCCTCACCTGGCCACCCGTACAGACCAGAAAACGCTTCTGTCTTGCAGAAAAATAACCCTTCTGTGAAGGATGTGTTTCGCCATTATCAAAGTTAAATTCTCTCAAGCACTTTGTTGGTTATAATCCTTCTCACAGCAGGATTAAACCAACTGCAAAGAGATAAATTTTCTGCTTTCCTACCATTCCAGGCAGCCAAGTTTCTGTAGTGTGGGGCAGCATTCACCTCCTAGGGGCCCCTTAGAATTTAGCTTATAAATTACATGTTGCAGGCATATGAGACTTCAGTGAGGTTGTTCTCAAATGGCCACTCCTATGGATTGTTACAGCTGTGTCTTGACTGCAAACTTCATTTTTGCTATGGGATATCAGGCAGTATCTTGTAGCTTGTGTATGAGATAGGGAATGAATTATCCATGGACCTTTTTTTTTTAACCTGGACATCAGCTGAAGTTCTGAGTGTTCTGATAATTCTGAAACAGTTCTAATCATTCAATCATAGCTGCCTCCAGACTAGCATAAATGGAGGAAAAAAAAATCAACCCCAGATGCTAAAATAATCTGTATTTTTGGAGGGATTATGACATGAAATGAAACCAACCTTCTTCTTTTATGACCTAACACAATTATACTATGTTTGTTTGTTTTTTAAACCTAATCCACTAGTTCTGCTTTGAAGTTTTGGGCACGTGACAGCATGTAATTAATACACATGACTGCAGCTACAGCAGATGTGTCTATGAATTTCTTTGTTTTGTAGTGGACTATGCTGTGGAACAAGCTCACCAGGGTGTCTTCTTCAATCAAGGTCAATGCTGCACTGCAGGCTCCCGAATATATGTGGAAGAATCAATCTATGAGGAGTTTGTTCAAAGAAGTGTAGAACGTGCAAAAAGGAGAGTAGTAGGAAGTCCTTTTGACCCAACTACAGAACAAGGTCCACAGGTAAAGCAGTAAGGCTTCAGCTCTACCGCCCAGATGGTGCCTGCAAGCATTTAAATTATAGCAGGACCAGGGTCTTTCAATGCATATTCAGTGCAGGCTGAAGTAGCTGATGGGACAAATGGCTGAGAGATGGTCTGAGGGTCTTACATGTCCGTAAGGGGACATGTTCTTAAGTAAGACGGACTCCTAGATTACAGTCAGCAACCACATGTCAATCTTTCTCATCCCCAGCTCAAGCAGTAGTGAATAAGAGCATGAGTGTGCTCACTGGGAGATGACTCGCCTGAAAATTTATTCTGTTTTGATAGCTAAATGCATGACATGCAAGTAAAACTACTTTTTCTCTCTTTCAGATTGATAAAAAACAATACAACAAAATCTTGGAACTGATTCAAAGTGGTATTACTGAAGGAGCAAAACTTGAATGCGGGGGTAAAGGGCTAGGAAGAAAAGGCTTCTTTATTGAACCTACAGTATTTTCCAACGTAACAGATGACATGCGGATTGCGAAGGAAGAGGTATTCACACACATGGCCAAGAGCAGTTTAGAATGTCCTAAGCACAATTCTGTATCTTTTACTTTCTGAGACAAAAACTTTCAAGTGAAAATTACCACTGTAGAAAAGTGACCAGAATCTCTTCAGCACTCTTTCTGCATAATGCAACTTACAGTGTTGGTTTGGGTAAAGAAGTCCAATTTTTGTCATTGGCTATAAAGCTTCAGACCTCAAAGAAGAGATAAGGGAGGAAATGTATGAGTTCCACTGGGACAACTGTTTTGGGAAATTCATACAGTTTTACAGAGAGCTATTACCACTAATAAATATTTCTGTGGGAATTTCTGAAGAGTAAAACTGGAGAAGGCAGAGAGCTAAAAAGCAGTATAGATTAGGAGTAAAATGTCACTGAGTGGTCTGTTATATGAATTAATGATTAATGTTTCTTGCAGATTTTTGGGCCTGTTCAAGAAATACTGAGATTTAAAACCATGGATGAAGTAATAGAAAGAGCCAACAATTCTGATTTTGGGCTGGTAGCTGCTGTCTTTACAAATGACATAAACAAGGCTCTGACAGTCTCTTCAGCAATGCAGGCTGGGACAGTCTGGTAAGACCAAAGTTATCACACTCCTGCCCTTGGAGATAAAGAGTTTGACTCACAATCATTGTGTCACCTTCGTTTTGCACCTTTGTCTCAAATGTGTTTATCTAGACCATTCTGAAGGTGAATCACTGAGATAGGGAGCAGCTGTAAGAGAGGTTTTTATCACTCTGCTCGTTGTGGGTAAATGCTGCTGTCTGCAGACTTGTTGAAAAGTGGAAAGTGCCTTGGCAGAGCAGTCACACTGCTGAGGGGCATTGCCAAAAACCAAACAATCCAGAATATAAATGGCCCTTTCTGTGGAGCACAGGAATCCCGTAAGGTTTCTGCTCATGGCACGAAGATTTGTGCGCTTGCTGTAAAACCAGCATCGCAGGACCAAGGGAAACCTGTTCCCTCTAGCCCCTCAGAGTAGGCAAATGCCACTTTTGAAGTTTGATAGCTTATAGCTTGGTACCTCAAGCCTCAATAAACTAAAAGTCCAAGAGAAACCAGGTGGGAAAAGGACAAATTCAGATCGAATACCTTTCTATTACAACAATTGAAGTTTGTCAGCAAATTCACAGTTCATTTACTGAAGTTGCATCCAAATGTTCAGTGTGCTTCTCCAAATCTTCACAGGCCAGATCCGGTTCTCTTTTTGAATGAGGAGAACGTTGCTATTGCAACATAACCTCGCCCCGGCCCCCCCACCCTGTAAATGACAAATTTGTTATTAAAAAAAGCTACACGGTATCCTTAGCTCCCTGAACCCCAGTGTCTCCCTCAGTCTATCAAATGCCTTTCTGCCAGTACATTCAGACTTGCTGCCCTTTCCTTTTACAGGATAAATTGCTACAATGCCTTAAATGCTCAAAGTCCTTTTGGAGGATTCAAAATGTCTGGCAATGGGAGAGAGATGTAAGTATTAGTAGTATCTTCTAAAATGTTTTCAGCGCTACAATTCAATAAACATTAACATATCTTTCCACACAACATCCACCTAGAAATACTCCCATTTGATGATTAGGGCACAATATAACTGAGACTTACTGCCAGTTGTATATGGCAAGATTTTTTTTTTTTTTGACACAGCAAAATAAGTTGTTGTCACTGTCTTCTAATTCTGAAAGAAACAAAATTTCTGAGTATTTTGCCACAGTATTCCAAGAGAATTTTCCTTCTGTGTATTCACCAGAAATATTCACTTTTCCAGAAATATTCACTTTTTGTTACTTGTTAAAATTTACTTTGAACTAATTTGATGTACTTGTTTTAGAGTTCTTCTGCCAAATATTTTGCCTCTCTCACTGAAACTTTCCCCCCACCTTTACTTTTTACTACATTTATTAGTATAGATCCATCTGAATTTAATTAATCTTTCTCTTCCAAATTTAAAAACAATGTTAAATGAAATCAGGCCTAGACAAGAATAGACAACTATTTACACCCCTTTAAAAAAGATCACCTTCCATTTCATAGCTTTCTGTCTTTTCTTATTCACAGAATCACAGAATGTTTAAGGTTGGAAGGGACCCCTAGAGATCATCTAGTCCAACCTTCCTGCTCAAGCAGGGACACCTACAGCATGTAGCACAGGGAATAATCTTATTCCATTTAGAACTGCCAAATATTTTGAAATGGGGAGGTCCGCCCTCAAATGCCTTCCACATACCTAGCTTACGCTCTTTTTACTTTTTAATTCTCATTACAATCAGAAAGAAGTTTAACAATTCCACCAGCCCCAGATTAGTTATGCATTTCTTAACATATATATAAAGAATTCAATTAATTTCTACACAGGAGTCATATGTACCAGTTATGTCCCACCAAAACTTTCAAAATAGGTTATGGCTAATAGCAAACTCAGCAGTAAACTAAAACAAGGTCAAACTCTTTAAAACTTAAGTATGCTGAATTATACAACTTGATTTATAAAATGAGCTCTATGTAGTCTGAAATACTTTCCCTCATTAGGGAGTACGTTGAATAACACATTCATACTATTCTTCACATTCATGAGTTATGAGGTGATCTCACACTGGCATAAATATGTCAGCTCATCTAATTCTTATCATTGTGAAAATATTCTAGGACTACTAAGCTCAATCAAGCACGTGAGTAACTTGACACCCAAGATTGACCCTACTGACTTCAGGGAGGTAAACTGCGCAAGCAAAATATTCACATATTGGTATCGTGCAGTTTTTCTAAAGGGCGGAGAAACAGACAGCCCCCAAGCTCTCATGTAAAAGTCTAAGGGAGTTGTATACTTCCCATCTACAGCTTTGAAAATCTTTACCATGAACAATAACCAATGTGAACAAAAGTATTATCCCTCACACAAAAATGCCCGAAAACCTACTCCTGAGGAATTGCATCATTCATTTAAGAACCACTTGATCAGATAACGTATCAAGGATTCCAATTCTTCCCTCTACCTCATTAATTATTTGCATACTGGTTATTAAAATGTCAAAGTTTCTCAGCAAATTCTTGTTTTTGAAGGATCCAATGTCAATCATATTGAGGCAGGAATTAAAGAACAAAAAAATAAGAACAGAACATGGGCATATATACATATTCATCTTTCCTAAGCTAACACTGCGTTACAGACAGATGATTTTTGTGGCATTGTGATGTTTGTGTTAGCACTCTATTAGCTGGGATTTGATTTGTTCCTGCATTTAAATTACCAAGTTTTTAAAATACATGGGAAAAAAATGAACAAAGCCAGTTGAGAACTGCCACAGTCATTTTACACTGCCACAAAACTTGTATGCACCATGCAAGATTCTTGCTTACCTCAAGACTATCTAAAACATTCTTGTATTCCTAGAGGTGTATTAAAAGGAGGGATTTCTTTACATTTTCAAGTTTTACACCATTCAAGTCATATAATGAGATTTAACTCCTGTAACTAAAAATCAGGTGACTCATCCTATGTGGCTACATATAATCTTTTTATGTTAGGCACAGTCTCTCAAATTTTTGATCTCAGTCCAAGTATCTTCAAGGGAAGGAGGTTCTGTTCCACTTCACTGCTATCCTTAGTGCCATGGGAATCATTATGGTCTGGATAGCTCTGAGCTCAGCAGTGCATAGCTACATTCCCCAAAGAAGTGGAAACAGGAGAAAGGCTTGGAGCTATAATTTTTTATCTTATCTTGTTTTGTGTTGGCCTGAGAGACGGAGGGGAGTCTTCATTTCTTTTGGAGAGGAATTCATTCCCTCTCCCTCACACCTACACAAGTGAAAGACAGTGTCACACAAACTTGACCCATGGGTTCCTCCCTTTCATAGATGCAACCCTTGTTCTCACCCTCTTAATGAACTGCAATTCAAGAAGACCCAAAGTGGCCATGAAACAGGATGTTATTGCTCCCTATTTCGCCTTACTAAGCTGTGGGGACAACCTAGCCCTTTGTTTGAGCATGCACTGACTCATTTACTCTGAATGCCCCGAATAACCCACCTTCCTCTTCAGCAAGAGCAACTGTTAGCTTTTGAAAAATAGCTGCTTTAGAATTCTTCACTATTGCTACTTCCAAAGTTTCAGACAGAAAAACAAGCCAAAGATTGTGTATTTCTGTTTGTCAGCCCAAGACAAGATACAAACTGTCTGCGGGAACATACATAAGACACTCCATTCTCTGTTCACTAGGGTATCCATTCACAAAAACATGTAGGCAAGAAAAGCTGCTTCCAAGGAGCCAAGTCCACTCTACAACTCAGCAGAGTTGCCTAAGAGATAAGCTAGGCCAGACATAACTGCAATAGAATTCACATCCGCAAGCACCCATTTCTTAAGCATCATCTGTCCAAACAGAACATGTATCCCACTGTGTTAAGTGTCAGATGAATGGGACTTAGTAAGTGGCTAGTTTCAGTAATGCTGCAAGATACTGTGCCAAAACAAAAAGAGATTTTCTAGTTAACTACTGGGAACCTGAGCAGGTTAAACTTTCTTTAATAGTAAATGTAAATGCTGGTTCTTGCTGCTGGGTATTTTGACAGGGTTAAAAGAGTAATGAGTTAGGAATCATGTTTGACTTTATCCAGGGTTGTGAATAGTTCACTTACCACAGTATTCAGTTTGGAGCTCTTCTCTCCTGAGCACAAATATACACAGTGATTTTATTGGACAATGTGCAGGTCTTGTCATTTGGACATTTGCAGGATCTAGAAAAGACAGAGGACATCAATTCAACTTGGAACAGTTCTGCTGAGGGAAACTGAATATTACTGTGGTTCTTTGTTTCCTTATCAAATGCAAGAGGCATCTGTTGTTCTGACCTACACTGAAACTTCATATTTAGATTTTCTGAAAGATGGCATGAATGCAAATCCTGTATAAAGAACAGTAAAACAGGAAACCCATGACTAGAAGTTTAGGCTCTATCTTAACTTTTTAAACGAATCACTTCATGGATTTTGTTCAGTAAGGAGTTAATGACTGGTGTAAAATGACAGCTGCAATTTGTTTTTTTGTTTGGTTTTTTTTTAGGGGTGAATGTGGATTGAGAGAATATTCTGAAGTGAAAACTGTGACAATAAAGATTCCTCAGAAGAATTCGTAAGATGAAGAAAGATAAGGTTGTGCGGAAGAGCACATGATGCCACCCTCTCTATTCCTTATGGGGACCAGCACTCAGGAATAAAAAGTGTTACACAATATATATTTAAAAAAATAAGTTGCAACATATATACAGGCACATAATCACATAAGTAATGCAAACCAACTCTGCATGTTTTCGTAAAAATCTTCTTTACATCTTTAGTAACCAAAACGTACAGATAAGAGATAAAGTTGCTATTGGGCATCATTTAATAACAGTTCTACCTAGAAAACTGTTAAATGCAAATGCATGCACATGCACACTTATCTCTCCGTTAGATGAACAGAATTAGTCTTACAGCTTTCAAAGCTGCCTTTTCAAGGACTGCCTAGTTGCTGACATTCTTTTTTTCATACGGAGCTTTACAAGCCAAATTTTACCCCAAATACTAGTAGCGAACAGAATAACTAAGAACTGTTGTTATTCTTAAAATATACCATAAAAAAAAAAAAAAAAAAAAAAAAAAAGAGGAGATTGTGAACTGTATCCAGCCCCCAGCCAGAAACAGGAATATGGATATACTAGCAAATTTTAATTAGTACACTCACATGAAGAGGTCAAATTGGGGAGGGAATAAAATTATTGTATGAATAATGCAATTCTGATACTGATCAGTGAGATTTGGTTTTCAGGCTCACAGCTCTCTGGTTTTCGAAACTTACTTTAATAATTATTTTATGCCTTGCTTATTATAAGCAAAAATCCTCCCTCAGAGGACTTAGAAGGACTTCGAAAGTTTTACCTGCCTGAAAAAAAGCGCATGGCCTGGCTGGGTGGAAAGGTTCTAAGAAGAGTAGGAATGGACTGAAGACTTCACCAAGTATTTCAACTTTCATTGCTCACCTATTTTGTTGTTGTTACTGTGGTGTTTTCACTTTTTTTTTTTTTTTTTTTAGTTTTTTTTTTTTA